CGGTAAGATCCAAAGTATATTATTTTATTTTTTATAAAAATATTTGAACTAACTATTAAATTATACAAATTAGACACATTTGCTTAAAAAAGTTGAAATTTCCAAATGATTTTTTAAGCATGATTATCTAAAACATTTATATGTAATTTGTTATAGAACAGTATCGTATGACTCTTGTATCAATTATTGTTTACCATTTGCATTTGATAAGAGACATGACAAAAATCAGGTGATTTTTTAGGGGGGAGGGGTAAAAAATTTAAAATTATATATAAAGACCTGATCAAGATATATAGTAAAAAGGGGAAGGGAAGTAAGCCTCTAATAAAAAAAAATCAGATGATAAATGACACTGCCCTAATTGTAATAAGAAATATATACTTAAATGTGGTGAATGTAATGAAATATTCAATTTATTTGATGAATTGCAATTATTGCTTAGAGATGAATGACAAAAGATATTAAAAGAACTTCAGGAAATGCTAGAATATTACCTTGTATATTTAACTAGAAAGAGATATTTAAATAGTCAATTTAATATCAATATTTTACAACTTAATAATGATAGAGCTCTTATAATAGTAGATTACAAAATATGAATACTTTCAAAACAAATTCGAGAAACAAAACAAGATTTTTATACGAAACATGATTAGGCATTATATACTATTTTGATATATTCTAAAAATCAAGAGAATAATGAATTAGAAATTCATGTCTTTGATCATTGGTTAAATAATAATAGACAGGACACATGGTTTAGGGGGCATCCATAAATAATGTTATACAAGAGGGGGGAGGGGGTTTTACAAAAATAACGTTTTTTTACATTTTTTGCTATGTTAGAGAGGGGTCGAAGAAAAATAACATAATTTTTTTATAAAAATATTAATATCTCATGACCCAGTAGTCCAAAATGGACGAATTTGGTACCATTGGATTCGTCTCAGTGAGAAGAATCCAATGGTACCAAAATTATTTAATTTGGATCACTAAATCAAAAGATATTGGCAAAAAAACTATGGCTATATTATTTTATATGAAATTACTATATAATTAACAGTTTTTTGCCTATAGTTTTTGATCCAGTAATCCAAATTAATAATTTTGGTACTATTGGATTCCTCTTATCGAGAAGAATCTAATGGTACCAAATTTATCTAATTTGGATAACTAGATCACAAGATAATCAAGGTTTTGTAAAAATTTATATATAAATATACAGATTTTTAAAAATTTTTTATATAGTCTAGGGGGTCAAGAGCTACTATGTGGAGGTACATAATGTTATTTATGGATACCCCCTTATAGCCTCATCTTTCGATGCAGTATTTACCTTACTTAATCTAAAGCCAAAATAGGTTATCATAATAAGTGATAATAGTCCACATTATTATTATTCTGAAACAATAGCACTGGGTTTTAAATGGGCAAAATAGTATAATATTGAGTGTAAAAAGTAGTATTTTCTGAAAACAGGAGAAGCTAAAACATCAATTGATAGTTATCATATGCAAGTATTTATATACATTGTTTTTTTAAGATATTTTGTTTATTTAGACAATTCTCAATTCACTTAATTTAATTAATTTTAGATATCATATATTATTAAAAGATATGTTCATTTAGGATTTGATTTAACTACTGGCGAAGATATTGAAAAAGCATTAGGCAACTTAAGTGGTATATCAACATCTTATTTAAAATCTAATCGTAATCAAAGAAATCAAAGCGGTATCAAAACTATACCTGGAATCTCTAATTGGTTTGAATGGTCTTGACCAATAGAGAGTTCACTAGCTAGATATGTTTGTGCGTGTGATCTTTCTGGTTTTGAAAAAATAAAAAATTTTTCTATAAGAAAGTTTACTAAAACAGAACTTGTATAACCTAAACCAACAGTAGACAAGCATTCAGAAGTTTTTTCAAAATGGACAATGCCAATTTATCAGGCTTTAGATAAGCTTATTTTTTCAATAATACTGTAATAAAATTTACTAAAAACTAGCAAGCTGTAGCAAATTTTAAAAGACACGAGTACCAAGTGGAAGATCTTTTATTTAAAGAAAATAAAAAGAAGAAATAAGAAAGAAAAATATAAAACAGGATTTAAATTCAATAGTCTTCTAAATACTATAAGGTAATTAGCAATAGGTAATTGTATTTAGAATTAAACCTATTGGCTAGTTTGTATAAGTCAGGTATAGCAAATGCTTGCCCTTTACAAGGATTACTAGACTTTAAAACTTAGAAATATCCTGAGATATAACTAGAGGAAAGAAAGCACTAATAATCAGACCATCGACAGCTATATATGGTCTTTAAATCCTAATAATATAAAACTAGTATTTGCCAAAATACTATTAATGAAGTTAGCCTTCACTTTATATTATTATCAAGAAAAGAATAAGAAATAATAAAAGAAAGATAAAATAAATAAAATAGGAAGATAAACAATAGTTTTTATTGATAGTGTTAAGAA